GCGTGGAAGAGGGCTCGTTTGGCCACAGCATGTATACAGAAAATACGAGAAAAGACCTTGTGAACTCCAAGGTTAGTTAGCTCGGATGATTGAACAATGTACACTCCCGGCGGACGATGCGGGGTGATAGAGAATGGTTATTTGTCATTGTGAGACAAGATAATTAAACGGGAGAGACGTGTGCACGTACAAAGTGCCAGAGCTATAGCGAGAGAGAAAAGTGCACAGAATTGACCTCGTCATGCCAATGCGACTATCACCGTCCAATATGGTAATAGCCAACAAAGCACCGAAGCAATGGACCACCACCACCGCATGGAACCAATGCCAATCGATATGGTCGGACGATTGGCGGGGTCCAATGGTGCAACTGTGTGCAGGTAGCAGAGAGCACAGTAGTGACCAAACACACGCAGACCGGACACCAAAGTTGGCGGCAGGGACTACAACCAAAGAAGTGGAGCAGACCGATTGGAAAGTAATCGGTGGAGACTAAAAACAAAGAGTGCGTTCAGGTACGGCAGCCTGGCACAATTGTTCATAATGTTGAAATTTATCTTAGCAGGGTAGAGAAGTGAAAGAATTCCGTGGTAGCATCGTTGCACTCTTGATGTAAGCTGTAAAGAGCATTATTATGCATTAGTAAATGTATGTAGTTTCCGCAAATAAGTGAATAAATTGTTTATCTTTGATATCGAATCTGGAATCATAGAAGTATGAAGAACGACGTGCGGCGACAGAACCATGACCAATCCAGCACAACAGGAGCTCTCAAGTATGAGAAGCATGACAGTAACGTGCAAGATGATTCAGAACATATGGTACAGACCGACAAGTCATGGGTGCGACAGAGGGACGATCTTTTGGTTGCTCTAGTGGCGGATCGCCCTTTAATATGTTTGCTTCAATATGTTTGCTTGATCGCTGAAAGTCATATCCATGCGAAAACCATCACCTCTATGTGGTGAAAATCATCCGTTATCCCAGTTCAGCTCAACTGCACTTGAGGTAAGGAATAACCACAAATAGTGTCACATTGCTCCGTAGTTCTATACAAAAGCCTGTTCAGGCTTGCTCGCAGATCTGTATTTCAGTAATTGCTTAAAAGTCATGAATTATTGAGGGAATTCAACCGAGCCCACAGGGGCATTCACTTTAGTATGTAACCGGAGTCAAATGAAGGCCTGGCTTTATTGGATGTTCAGACATAAGGCTGAACAATCTTGCTCTGGGAGAGGCGATCGTGAATCGTTTGAACAAATCGATGTTGAATGTGTATAAACTCATACAGATTCCGAGAGAACAGATCACACTTGTGGAAAACGCCCAATATTCATCTGCTCCACAAGTTACGGTCCCGGCGATCGAATTGCCCAAGGTTCATTTCCAATACAATTGGCGGTACACAATGAGATCGAACGTCGCAATCCATTCACATGAGTGCTTCGAAACGACTCATCAAAAAGATTACACTTATATTTGAAATAATGTTCTAATTAACCTCTGCTTTGATACCATGGGGTCCATGTGACCTCAGCCATGTTCAGAGCATTTTGTTTCGAAAGACGAGCGTATCCACCTCGACTGCTAGGTATTTTCTCGTAAGGCTTTCTTGAGCATATGACAAATGATCGATAGCTTAAGAGCCCTTCCGGTTGTTTATTATTTAGGTTAATTTTTGTTTGAGGTCAAATTGACCCCACAGTGCCCTCAATGTGATGAGGGCACTTTTTCCTTATTTCAAAATTCTCTGACGAAGCACAACAAAATAACGACACGACGGGGAGTTTCTCCCGAGGATGTTCTGTAGCCTTTAGGTGACCTAAGTAATGAGAAAATGAGGACAGCAATTAAGATGATCTGAACTGGGATGAAAGTGACAATGAACTCTGATGAAGAATCAGATATCATCAGTGAAGTAAGCGCTAATGAATTACGTTCCGAAGATGAATCAGAATATGACGACAATTGCGATAGTTGTGGTGAAGATGGGTACGCGTGGTCACAGAATCCAAAAACGGTCAGAAGGAACCCGATGCGAAGTAATGTCATGCCACACACAACTTGAAAGATGTCACACAGGTCATTCGCAGTGGCGACATTGTACCAGGGGCAGCTATACGAACCACAAGCATCACACGGCTTTATTCAGGACAACGCAAGAGATGTCGCACTTGTCCCAGACCACGTGACAAGACAATCAAGTCGGTATGTAACGAGTGCAATAAGTTAGTATGCGATTGTTCAATTAATGCCAACAATAACATCTTGCCTACGGCGGGGTGAAAAGAAAGCAGTATAATAAAGTGCTGTTGCTCTGACCATAGAACATGTTTTCACCATGGGGTAAGTGTGACCCAATCAAACAAAGGACACGAACTTTTTCAAGGTACCAGAGCATGGTTAATCCACTCGTTTTTATAGTAGCTCTATTGTATGTCACCTGATGAATCACCGAAGATGAGCTTGTGTTACACTGGCTTTTCATGACTGAAACGAGAATTATTCACCGTTCGAAATGTTTGACAATGAGCAGCAGACCGGTAGTACGGAAAATGCACCTAAGCAGTTTCGAAAAAAAATCCGGCAACCAAGCGGAAATATGCAAACAATGGGCACCAGCAAAAGTCCCCATCCTACTGTGGCCATAGCATGGACTCACAGTGATGTCATTTCCGTGTCTGAACGGGTTTTAGTAATTTGTGAAACTCCAAACACAAGCAGGATAAAAGGTTTCGAATGTCGAAGTTACAGTGTTTCATCGGTTTGGTATATGGGAATTCGTGGTCGTAGCAGCTGTTACTATATGACGTCCTGATTAGGGACATGTGCATATGCCACTGAGTTCGAAGCTGACGGAACACGAGTTATAAAAATTTAGTAACTAGTGTTGCATTGGGCCGTTAGAGTGGGCAAACCCCCCAGTAAGAAAGAACAAACAAATATGCGGAAAGTTAGATCCTATTGGAGACCAACGACGAGAGCCAGACGTGAGTTGAGTCGCAATGGAACAAACCGCTCTAGTTATAACCCGACTAAATATGGGTATTGTTCTCAAATCAGCACTAGTCTGTTGATAAACACCTACCCAGTCCGTTTCGATCTGACCCTTCGGCATTAGATGGTTTTGATCTCAGCCTCAGGTTGATGGGACCGTTGGGGCATTTGATAGATTGACCACGGATCGCAAGATTCGTTGACCCACGCTAGAGAAATCGCACCCTCGTAGCATATTCCTCCTTAGTTTGTTCGGTGTACAACTTCTCTCTTGGGGCAACCTGGAACGGAGTCACCGGTTCAGGTGTGTGGCTGGATTTGCGTCTGGACACTTGGTTGCGAGCCGTTTCGACCTCAACAGTCCATTTCACTTTAAACGACTAATAGATTATCAAGGCTAATTGACCCATCACAACTCTTTTTATCACGAGAAAGCGTTCGTTGGAAGTGGTTAGCGTGGCGCCTTCACAGCAGTGGACCTACCTGGACTTCATGCGGAACACACCCAATCCGCTCTTCAGTGAAGACGACAGCCCAGTTTTGATGGTCACAAGGATAGTCACTGAGTAGCACACGATTTGCTGGATGCAGCGTCCGAGTGCTGACCCAAAGCTGATCGGAATACGTCATGTACTAGAGGTAAGTGCTTGTTCATCAGAGCATCAGTGGGACAACAGCCGCTCGGACTTCGCGGATTTACTGTGGTTTTGTAGTTCAGTAGGGATGTACGCAATATTTTTACTATCGCCCTCCCCCGTGAATTTCAGTAAGGCAATTGTCTCAGGCAGATTAGACACTCTCAGGATATGGACAGGTGTTGATTAAGATAACTTATTGACCCGAATGTCAGAAAGTTACAAAAGATCGATTCAGTCAATACTAAGAAGCATGAGCTCAAAAGCAACTATGTAGACTGTATCGTGACCGCGCTTACCAAAAATTTCCCGCTGACAGTCTAATTTGCCAGGCAACTTGATTTTACCGTCGGATGCAATTCTGGTCGTATCATTAGTTTGACGATAGATTGATGAGCCCGGTATCGCCCAGGTATTTTTGCGCATGATGGTTATATTGGACACAGTATGAAGTTGTACACAAACCGCCCTTCCGTTTATTCTTGCAGCTATGTACTTGCAGTGGCGCATAAGATTAGGATCAGTTGTTGCAAGCACGGCATTGAATTTGGGTCCGGTCCCATTTGATAGACTGCTTGGTCGGCATTCTAGCTAGACTTCTTGACATGTTTCGTGATTTGGTAGTGACTTCCTTTGTGCCCGCGTCGGTTGCACACTGAGAATCAGCACTTCCTAAGGGGCGTCAAAGTACCAGCACGCGGATGGTGGTTTCGTGACCACAGGGTTTGTTTTTCTGGGGGGTTGTCTGGAGCACTTCTTTGGGACATTGAAAGTGAGTCGGGATGATGCGCGATATAGCATGGCTGTATCGTGTTGGAGATTTATCAGACGCAGTTCAGTCTTGCTTAATAACCTGATCCTGAGAGCACTGTCGGGGTGTGACTGAAGGCCACAAGTGGAAGTAAGGCACCTGAACTGATCTTTTATGGTAGACAGCAAGGTAAGTGTGAGGAACTAGAAGACCGCAGAAAAGTGAACTTGCTGAAGCAAAGCGTCGAACCCCAATCAGGAGCGCTCATGGGAGTATCAAGATGAGCAGTCGGATAAGTATTAGAAGGACAACAAAGTATTTCACCCAATCTGTGCGGGCTACTGAACCAGAACAAGTAAAGTACAGCGAACTGAAGTTATGCATTGATATGTTGTTTGCTTGTTACTTTAAGGTAAAATTACAAGTTACAAATTCCAGCATTAAGTTGTGATTGTCTTTTTAAGGTGCTTCCCGTTCCTCCTTACTTCGCATTACATCAAGATGAAAAGATTCGCCTATATTATGATCGCATCTGGCTGATTCAGATGACCATGTTGAAATAACCTAGTTAGGCAGTAACATGACTATAATGAACAAGAAGAAAGGAGCAGACTCACCGTGAAACGGAGAAGGAGATTTGTTAATAAAATCTACAAGACCTTGAGTATATGGATTGGGTTTGTTCATGTTTGGAGCAGTATTAATGATGAATGTAGCGGTAACTTCTTCTGGTGACAAGTTACCGTTTGCGGAGGGGTCAAAACTCGATACTGGAGGGTTCAGATTAACGGCCCGTGTGGTAGAAGACGAAGGATCTTGAGCTTTTTGATTGAGCGAACCGAGAAGACTGGTAATCAAGGGGCGCTGTGGGTGTGTAAAACGTTTGGTGAAACAATGTATACTACCTGTAGTGTTTAAGCTGCTAGATGAATAACGTATCTAAAGCAGCTAGAGTTGTTTAGGATAAGTGTGGAACGACTTCAAGTCAAATAGGACAAACAAGTGAAAAGAATGAAATGCAATTGAAAAGAGTTCGGAGAGCAACAAAATAAATGTCGTAGTGGCTACACTGTTGACTCCTGTAGTGGTCTACATAAGACGGGGTGACAAGAGTAGGATGACGAGCACGGAACGGACCATCCCGTCTAATAAGAAATCCTGTACGGAGGTGCGTGAATCATCCATGACCACTTTCTTGTGGATAAATGCCGTTTAGAACGAAAGGGACTCAGTTGGATAAACTCATATTAGGAGAGCGAAAATAACGAGATGGTTATATATTAGGGTGCTCTTTTTCAATAGGTTATACCGCTGGTTTAGAGGATCCAAGAACTACATGTTGCGAAAACTGATTATGTCTTCGAAATGTCACACTAGCGCGGTGAGAAATACTGGCATAAGAAATAGTGATGATAGGTGAAGTCAGCAGAACTGTATCCCATCAGAAAATAAGTCAGGTCAGCACCACAAACTGAACTGGATTGAGTGCACTATTGCAAGGAATGACAACGGAAAGTATCTGTCCCCAAAGGTGCTACTGTCGGGCAAAATTGATAGTATTCAGTTCATGAGCAGATGCAAGGGTAGTCAAAGCAAGTGAGGGAGCTGACAGAACGATTAACCGTAAGGAACCTAGCGAATGATACGCAATTGACATAGCAGGTTTCAAACCGCAAAAGACCTAACCCCGTGAGGGGCTCAGTGCAAGCGAAGCTAATGTGCATGAGCATGCCGAGCGACGCATTACCAGCTAATTGGAGAGTTCGGATCTCCGGAAGAAAGGTACAGCACAAGAACAGGCTGGGAATGTCTACTTCCCAGGCTTGAGCAACAGCCCAACCAAAGCTGCCTAACGAGTGCACAGAAACAGTGAATCAGTCGTGCCCCAAGGTTGTACCACGCACCTAACATTGGGAAGAATAAGGGGAAACCCAAGTGATTTATACATATAGACACTAAGGTGGGTAAGCCGGAAACTAAACTCTGACTTACAAATGAATGATTGAGGGACTGGCTAGATAAGTGAGGAAGAAGTTGGGCAGCTAGGGAAGAGGCCAAGACAGACGGCGATGGGTTGTGAACACTTGAGAATTGAGAGTTTGCTTGCCGGTAAACAAATTGCTGAATTTCATCCAGGCCTAACTGCTGTAGCAAATCGGCGGCAGAAAGCACTCCGCTAAGTTTGTTCCAAACAGAAGCAACAGTAGGCAGTGTTTGAGGTTGTCCGGTTGAAAGACGTGTGGTACTGAGGTGCGATGGGGCTGGGATGGTGGCTTGGGTTGGGACGAAATCAGGAATGAGAGGTGTTGCATGGCCAACTACATCATCGGCACCAGCAGTGTGGATAGAATGGGACAGATTAGTGGGACACCCCATCAGGTTCGGCAAACGGAAGAGAGAAGTAGGAGTGGGACCGACATTATGTGAGTGTTGGAATAAAAGAGTTGCTAGAGCAGTCTGCTGCAGAGAAGAGATATCTGCTGAAAGTATAGAGGCAAGTGATGAGCAAGGAGGAATGAGCAAACTGGGAATCGTACAACTGCTAGTGTTTGGTTTCGTCGGGGATAATGGAACAAAAGTGGGCCCATCGGTGGAAGAGGCGAGGCTTGGTTGTGAGTTTGGCTTTGGATCAGACGATGTAAACGGCAAACGAAGATCCGTTGTTCGAAGGAAAAGGTTGTTATCATTTCGGCCGACAATGGAGTTGAATCCATTGGCACATGAAATGACGGGACTGGCGGAATAAGTTGAAGAGGGTGGATAGGTGTGAGTGCTGAAATCCGCTGGAAGAGCTGTGGATCGAAAACTAGCCGAAGAGTTCGTGTCAACTCTGGAACAATATGATGAGGACGTGAATGTATCTTTTCTTGGATTATGAGATGTGTCTCGCGATGTTCCCATGAACATGCACCCACTGTTAGATGAATAATTCAGCGCAGGAAGTTTATCTGAAAGAGCATGGGGTTCGGCGATGGGCATGAAACCCACCTACAAAACGGACAAGAAACGAGGGATTGTAAAGTATCCTAGATGCAGAACCACTACAATGGGGTGATTGCTTGTAAGCAATGAAGCGCTTTAGGCAGTGTCAAAAATTAAAATCTAAAACGAGTGTGTTGATGAGGCTGGAAAAAGTGCTCACGTCCACAAACTGTTTAGTAGCTGTTATGGAGAGAAAGCTTACAGTCAGCGTTCAAGCTGAGAGTAGTGGCGCAAGAGTGAATCGATCTACAATTGAAGATCGAACTCAAGTAGAGATCAAAACGCCAATCTACGTGGGAGAAGCAGCAATTTGGACCATGAACTTGAACCGATTGGGTTGTGTTAATTAATAGCAATTAGCACCTACAATATTGTTGTGCTAGTATTGCCTACAACCTATTTATTGCGCTATGCTCTCATACAGTACGAATCCGAATCCCTCGGCCCGGCTGGTCTTGGCGTTCTCATTTCGTTGCGGGTTGAACTGGTTGGGGGCGGCACAACTGATTCAGGCAGGTTGTCCGTACATTCAGCAGACCCCACAAGATAATTCTGGCGACGGAGGTGGGTCGAAGAGTGCATATTAAGATACGATTCGGGCGGAGTGTACAATTACTGAGCTTCTACTTTTACGTGCATAAGCAATGTAGCGGCTCCATAACGCTATCCGTAATGGGTCTTGCAAATATGAACGGCAGTTCGTAATACAACAGAGAGCTCAACACATGAATTTATAGTAGTACCATTGTTATAAAACGATGGACAATATGTCTGCAGCTGCATTCGATTAAAAATGGTCTTAACGAAATTATTACAGCGCAGCCCAAAGGAGTAAGAGATAGGCAAGGCCAATTTTGTATACTTGAGCTCAGACAACGCTTATGATGTGCGACAGATAGGGAAACAGAGAAATTCTCACCGGTGATGTGCGGCTACCAAAAGAATCCGGAGGCGCTGTATGTCCCCTAGAAGCGGTGTCACCAGAGTGAGAATTGATTTCATTCGCGGAGCCAAAATGGGTTGAGTGGTCGCTGCCGTCTCTGGAGGGGCCACTCGTGGGAGCAAATGAACCATCAGAAAGCGGACGCGAACCGGATTCAGAAATGAGACCATGTGACTCGACTGTTTGCCTGAGCTGATGCATCGAGTTGAAAGGGAACTTCCGGTCGAGGCAACCAGATATGCTGCCCAACCCCGCACCGGTCAAATTATGTGTGTTATGTGCACTCCAAGAGCGCAATGGGACTTGGGTGGGGAGGCCAGCTGAATTGTGCCAAGGGCTTTCAATACGAGATGGCTTGGAAAAGGAAAGTAACGTCGAAGTGCGACCAGGAAGCCCGCTGATGACAGAATGAGGAATACAGCGAGGTTGGGTGCAGCCAACATCAGCTGAAACTGGGATTGCATTGTAAGGTGCAGTATGGGGACAAGAGTCCACTGAATCCGTTGAATCGTAAAATCCAGAAGACACGATCTGCTCATAGCCAATGTCGCAACCAACTGAGGCAATCAACGGCAATGAAGCCGTAGTGGACAGCGCCGAATCTGTATGCACAAAAGAATGCTTTCGTCCGATCCCACAGGTCAGTTTTGATGGACTAGATGGGGTTACGGGTAGTTCATTGTCATCAGGGCAGGCGCGTTTGAAGCCCGTTACACACGACCGCGATCCAGAGGAGCTGCTCATCTCCAAAACGCTGGGTTTAAATCGTAAGTTTGGCAATGAAATCTTGTTTTTGCGCACAAAGTCACACAAAGAAGACTTGGCCAGATTATATTTTTGAGCAGCTCGACGCATGGAAATGTTCAACTTTAACACGTCTTCCACAGCACGAGTGAGTAATTCACGTCGTTCTCCAGGCTTGTGACGAGGACGCCTAACTGGTATCGGGCTGGCTGTTGCTGTTGGTAAACCGACGATGGAAGAGTTGCTTGGTGAGGCACTTGGGAATGAATGTACAGGGGAGACAGTATGCGAATCTAATGGAGAGCAGTTAGCTGGTTCGACCGACATACTTTCATGAGAAACTAAATATTGTGAAGGAGCGATCAGCGAGTCCGCAGCTAAGGTCGACGTTCGTGCACTTGGAGATATGGGTGAGCTGCATGCTGTGCTCGTCAACAAAGGTAATGAGAAAAAGGGCAGTTCTGTTGGCGGAGCTTCCATGAGGCCGGGCGAAGAAGAATTGCCATGGGAGTTGATAATTCTCAAGTTCATACCGTCACAAGATAGCTTCTTCTGGGCTTCTACCAAAGCGTCTCCGGCTATCGAAGTTAAAGAATCACGTTCCTCAGAAAGAAATGATGCTTCAGCCGAGTCCTCCATAATAGAATAGGCGGAGAGAGAAGTCAACTTCGGTCCACTGGAGCGGCCTGGAAGGACTCTCAAATGTGACGGATGCAGCGGAGCTGTTTGTGATTAGATCCGCCGTCACGAAGATGATACCACCAAACGCATGACATGGGGTAAGCGCGTTGCAAGCAATAATAGCGTTGTCCAAACGAACACACAGAAGTGAAGGTGGAAGATCAGGCAATTTAGATTGGGAAGAGCGGTGACGTAAAGAAGAGTAGGGTAGTTGGTACCTTCGGGAGAGCAGACGAGATCACGAATGTGGAGTGGTGTGTACGAAAAATGAACACGAGCAACTGCACCAATTGAGTTTGAACGCGGGCAAGTTTGCACTCATGCTCAGTGGATCTGTGTGTCCTATCGTCTGTCTAGCGGTCGCGGTAGATGACGAGTCGCTCATCAGGAGTTAAGGCCGTATACGTGTATCGACGTTTGCTTGTGTGTTATAATGAGCACATACGACGGCACGCGTTTGGCGGTTGGTGCAACAGTGCGGTGCACGTCCAAAAATACTGGACTAGAAAATCAGTGATCAGCGCTAAGCATCAATCGGATGAGTCGCGCGAGTAGCACGAACGCACCTCTGTTTGCCTGTGCAGACGCTACACGCAACAAACATACAACGCTCACGATCCAGGACAGTTTGAGATGGGTGCATTCGGGCTATTGTGAGCAGTGATCAAGCGCAGCGCAGAAACACAGTTGTGCAGTAAGAAACTGCACCAGGTCAAAGACCCCAGTGTCCGATCTGCTGTCGAGAACCACAAAGATCGATCGATTTAAGAACTTAACGACGTAGGGACGGACGCAGCAAGGTCTACCAGTCGATAAATGGCGCAAGTAGAAGAGATGGACACAGTGAGAGAAAACCGTTGTGACCTGATAGGGGCAAGTACAGAGTAAAAGAATGGCCGAGAGCCGTGACCGTCGGATTGCAGAAAATCCATCGGATAAGCGACACTACGGGTAAAATAATCGACAGACCAAAACGTGTGTGTGAATGAGAAGGAGCAGCCTAACATGTGTGGTACAATGTGAGTACCCAAATGGACAAAAACGGTCGGTGGTTGTGGAAACTAGATAAAGTGGTTCATGATCAGTCACGAACGCGGTAAGGTAGATTGATGGTGGTAGGGATGGTGCAATGCTGTAGACCAAAAGTTTATCCCAATGTCCGACCGATACTACATATGCATTTAGTGAAGACATGCTTCGTAGTTCGCCGATCGAGAATCGACGACAGAATTGCGGGCCGAAAGCACGCAGTAAACCACAGAGGTAGTGCTTTACCCCGATGTACGGCAGTGTACTCATGAAAAGAAGAATGACAAAAATAACATTGTAGCAGTGTTGGTTTATAATGCTTTCTGAGTTGGAGACTAAAACGAACAACTCGCAGCAAAAACCGGCATCGGTTACGTATCTGTATTGTCGTCTAAGTGGACTTGTGTAGTGTTTATCAATCAATGGAGTAAGGCCGGCTGTGAAGCGAGACAGAAGGCACCGGGAGGCTACTCACTAATGCGGTCCAAAAAACATCAGTAATGCATCGGTAGAAAGCACCGCAGCCATGTAACAAGCAGTCCACCTGGGCTGGGATATTGTTGGTGCATTGTAAACCAAACAACAGCAGGTAGACTAAGCCGACGTGTAGAGGTTACAAGCCAAACGCCGGAGCAACTACACATAGATCGACCTAGGCTGTTTGCAAGGTGGAGGTTCCCTGAACCTGAGTGTGCGTTTAATGTGCTTATGTCCTGCAGTGTGACCCGCTAGCCTCTCCCACACACTTTATCATCTGGGTCCAATATAGGGAGGTTGTTGGTGCGTCACAACATTAATACGAGGATAAACGGCCGACCGTAAATAAGCTATAGAAAAGCGAAAACTAAGTTAGGCTAACATTTACTAAAGGGTTCTACAATAGTCACGACTAAAAGGACATCAAAATAAGGTCTAGCTACAGATGCGAGCACGGGCAGCGAGCTGTGTTGGCGCGTTCCGTTCCGAAAAGGCGCGCATGTGCTGACTCAAAAAGACGCCGGTGAGGTTCAAAAAAGCGCGCACTTAACTCACTAAATACATAATGGAGCCATACTTCTAAGGTATCTTAGACAACAATCAGCAACCAAATGGGGGAATCTACAGGTGGCTACTACACATCCTCGATTTGCAATTGCAGGGTTGCGAAATGCCAGCACGAAGCGTTAGTACATATATTCGACTTTGTAAATGAGCTTTCATAAGTAAAAGCAAAGGTGACTGGACCACATATACTGCACAAATATCATCACGAGCGCAGTCTACTAAAGCCCGCTCAACAAACAAGACTGCTGGTTGTTAAGACTAAAAGGTGAAGTTATGGTACCGACCAAAATCATAAAACCAGTGTTGATGAACATAACAGCCACTAGTTCATTTTGACTATATAAACTAGTAATGAGTAACTCCTGGATTGGAAGGGACACAGAAAACTGGGTCGCCTGCATTCGACCCAGGCAAAAGCGATGAATACATAAAAACCTTTTAAGGTCAAGCAAAATCAGGAAGCATGGTTTAAAAGCAAGAAGTATTTTCGTACAAAAGAAGGGTAAACACACAAAAAGGAGTGAGCAATGTGCGATCAGATGCTGAGCCAAACGCAGGCCCTTCAGTTTCCTCAATCGGTAGCCATGTCCGACAAAACAACGCACAGACAAATACGTTAGCGTTTAGTATGTGCATCAATGCTCTCTCCTATGGCTCGAGCTTCTCAGCCCGACCGGTCGGTGATGGCAATGGGAACGACGCAGTTCGGACACCGGATAACGCTGGAAATTCTGGGTGAGTGTTTCTGAAGTTGACGATTCTGGTCACACATGATCGAGGTGACGTCGCACAACTGTGATATCATTGGTTTCTGTCTCTATGACTTGCTCGTTGGATGTTTCGACAACAGCTGGGTGCCACCCAGAGAGCGTAGAAAAAGAAGTTAAAGGGGACCTGACTCGAACAAATCTGTCTCTGCTGCAAGCAATAATGCCCTATTGCAAAGCATTGCTTTTCAAAAACTCCCGACCCAAGGGCATCATGCATGCAACAACGAATGACCAAACATTCACTCCAGACGCACACTGTCAGCGAGTTCATTTGCCACGTTGGGCAAACGAAGCGAACTGCAGTTGCGACACACACGAGGCAGGGGGCCCTGGTTGTGTTCATGGCACAGACCTTTTAGTGGGTGATAAGATGCAGTGGTTGGGTGTCAATACTATTCAAATAAAGGAAAGGATGAAATATCGTGGCTCGTGAATGTGGCCCACTATTCGGAAGAGCAAAGGTCGCGAACGCTGCTGTAGACGGAACGTGTGCGTCAATCCAGTAGAATGGAAACAAAGCTTGCAACCTTCTAAGGACCAGACAAAAATATATGTGTGTAAGTCTTGGGGACTTTATAGCCACTATTCATGTAGTTGCATTTTGTGTGTATTCCTACTCTGCTTGGAATCCCTCCTGCAGATTTTTATCTTGTTTAAATGTTTGCACTCGTTTGAATTACGTTGACGAGATCTACCTCATGCTCTTTACATGTCAAATCTAATCAATGCAGTTGACTGAATTCCATCGCTCCCAGGGCATGGATAGTCGGGTCACACGCAGACAACTCTACTCTATCATGACATATCTGCTGTTGGCCTCCTTTAAAAACAATTTAGAGAGTCCATTCAAGGAGCTCAAAATCATCCGTAACTAGTAGTTGCATAAGATAGCCACGGGTACCGTCGTTTATTTGTGACTCGTCTGCAACTGTTTTCAGATCACTTGCGCCTTAGCGGCGTGCCACCGTCATTGCCTTAACCAGATTGGTAACGTGTGCTTCTCTGCCTAATTTAGACCTAAAGTGGAGGCTGGGACGCGACGTAAATGATTTTCCAGTGAGCATGTTAGCCTTATTGGTTTGAATTTGAAGAGGATCATATACCTGGTCCATCGGTCTATTGAAAACGTACACGCGCGAACGTAACGATTATGACTGAAATCGCACGAAGTTCCTTGCGTAAAAGGATCAACCACATGGTTAAAACATGTGTAAATGATACTGGTATGTCTTATTTAGTACTTACTGAATTGTTAGTTGCTGCATCACCACTCAACATGATAATTCTTTTTTCTGTAACATTCTCGTTGCAGTCCCAAAACTTACCCGTTTTTACAAATCCACCAACCTTTTCACTTTATTCGACTATTTACAACATTCAAGTGCACATAATCGCGTTAATTCTTCGGTGTTGAAGCATTAAATACCAATTTATATGATCCTAATTCAAAAGCCTGTAACCAGATTACGTAGTAATGCGCTTAAAGCTACAGTGACCAAGTCAAAAGACTGCTCTGCCTCGTCTTGGGATGTAACGCGACTTGGGCAGAGTGAAATAAAGCTACCTAGGCCGGAACTAAAGATATGAAGCAAAATACTTCAATTTAACCCCGTAACTACCCTCCTTGTCCCCACTGACGGGTCAGGCTACAAATCTACTCTCAGTACACTTTAAGCTAGGTCTCATACTATAAGTAGCCGCAGAAGCGTATCAAAAACAGTACGTCCGAGAAACGTAATTGGCCTCAACAATTCTGATGATTATCCGATTGAGAAGTCTTGACATTACCCATTGAACATCTGTAGAATGAGCCATGTGGAACGTTCCGTCCGTCCGTTGCGAAAAATCGCAGAAACGAGGCTGGAAAAACTACTCAAAAATTCTGAAAACGCAAAAGGGAGCATCCAAGCCAAACAGGTTAACACCTTGACAACTAGAGATAATGCAAGTTCCATCGAATACCATCGTGCGTAACAGGAAATGGGTACTATCAAAGACCACATTTGCTCCATACTAAACCATACAGAAACCGACCCCAGTTTCTAAGCAACTCATCCAACCTGTGCTCAAACGCTGTTGATGATGACCTGTCCACCAACAATGCTACATGCTTTCCCTCTTAGCAAATAGCGAAGAGCGTTAAAAACAATGAAGATGTGGCAAATAATCTAGGCAACAGGAGCCTTCCACAAGGACCTGCTGTTGACTAACCTGTAGGGAATGGCCTACGACTGTCACGCACACGGTGTGTCAAAATAAGAGTGCTTGACCAATTCCTAATCAGCCTGTGAATGCTCCGTCTGTCAGCCAATATGAAGTAGTTCGATCTACGATCCAGCAATGGAACATGACTTCATTCGGTGACCGTAGTCAAAACTACTGCAGCTGCCTCAAAGGAGACAGCCTCAAAAGTCAATGAATGATGGCTTATCCAAATGTGTCGAAAGAAGCTGCTACTCAAGACACGTTAAAAACAGAAAAAGTTCACGCTAAATGGTCGATTGTGATCCGCCGCTGGCTGCAGAAATAGTAGCCTCCCTGATTCTACAGATATGATAAAGTTGAAAGGCCAAGTTGATCATTTGCAGCGTTCTAACCAAAACCCCAATCTCTAGCTCCG